AGAACAGTCACAGAGTTGTTGTGAAGCCAGTCCTTCGTTATTTTAGCTGTGTGCTTAGGCTCATTGTCTTGTTTGAAGGTAAAGCTTCGGCCCAGTCTGAGGTCCTGAGCATTCTGGAGAAGGTTTTCGTCCAGGATGTCCCTGTACTTGGCCGCATTCATCTTTCCTTCGATTGCAACCAGTCGTCCTGTCCTTGCAGCTGAAAAACACCCCCACAGCGTGATGCTGCCACCACCATGCTTCACTGTTGGGGCTGTATTGGACAGGTGATGAGCAGTGGCTGGTTTTCTCCACACATACCGCTTAGGATTAAGGCCAAAAAGTTCTATCTTGGTCTTATCAGACCAGAGAATCTTATTTCTCACCGTCTTGGAGTCCTTCAGGTGTTTTTTTAGCAAACTCCATGCGGGCTTTCGTGTGTCTTGCACTGAGGAGAGGCTTCTGTCGGGCCACTCTGCCATAAAGCCCCGGCTGGTGGAGGGCTGCAGTGATGGTTGGCTTTCTACAACTTTCTCCCATCTCCCGACTTCATCTCTGGAGCTCAGCCACAGTGATCTTTTGGTTCTTCTTTACCTCTCTCACCAAGGCTCTTCTCCCCCGATAGCTCAGTTTGGCCGGACGGCCAGCTCTAGGAAGGGTTCTGGTCGTCCCAAACGTCTTCCATTTAAGGATTATGGAGGCCACTGTGCTCTTAGGAACCTTAAGTGCAGCAGAATTTTTTTTGTAACCTTGGCCAGATCTGTGCCTTGCCACAATTCTGTCTCTGAGCTCTTCAGGCAGTTCCTTTGACCTCATGATTCTCATTTGCTCTGACATGCACTGTGAGCTGTAAGGTCTTATATAGACAGGTGTGTGGCTTTCCTAATCAAGTCCAATCAGTATAATCAAACACAGCTGGACTCAAATGAAGGTGTAGAACCATCTCAAGGATGATCAGAAGAAATGGACAGCACCTGAGTGTCACAGCAAAGGGTCTGAATACTTAGGACCATGTGATATTTCAGTTTTTGTTTTTTAATAAATCTGCAAAAATGTCAACAATTCTGTGTTTTTCTGTCAATATGGGGTGCTGTGTGTACATTAATGAGGAAAAAAAATTAACTTAAATGATTTTAGCAAATGGCTGCAATATAACAAAGAGTGAAAAATTGAAGGGGGTCTGAATACTTTCCGTACCCACTGCATATAGATTTATATATACACACACACACACACAAAATAACGAAAAGACATTACAGATCCCAATGTATTAATTGATTCAGTTATGAAGATCCCAGCCAGTGGGTGTCCAGGTTGTCCTAATCATATTCAAAAAATTGTTGTACAGTGTGAAATTGTGTGAAAAGCATAGTTCAATGAAAAATTAATATTCTGCCATTATTTACTCACCCTCATGTCGTCCCAAACATGTGAATTATTTTTTGTCCATACACTGAAAGTCAATGGTTTTCCATTAGTTTTGTCTTGGACCCTATTGGCTTTAATCACATGGACAAAACATCAAGACATTTTTCATAATATATTATTTCAAATTTTGGGGGTCATCAAGATTTGTTTTTTAAATAAAGTTAAATATTTTTATTCTGCAAGGATGCATTAAATGTATCAAAAGTGACAGTAAATACTTTTATAATGTTAAAAAAATTAAACAAATCTATTCCAAATGTATCATTTATATCTATTTATAAGTTATTTTTTCAACTTTCTAGCATCAGCATATTAGAATGATTTCTGAAGGATCATGTGACACTGAAGACTGGAGTAATGATGCTGAAAATTCAGCTTTACCATAACAAATAAATTACATTTTAAATGAATTAGTATTACTGTTTTTACTGCATTTTTCATCAAATACATTCATCTCCCATCACCCCAAATTTTTTATCTTTTAAAGTCCACAGAAGAGAGCAAGTCATACAGGTTTGGAACAACATGAGGGTGTGTAAATTATTTTGTGTGAACTGTCCCTTTAAAGCCAAACATCTACAGTGTTGGCTGGTCTGTTAACATGAGTTTCAAAAAGCATTTGCCTCTCCTCAATTTCTTTGATTTCAATCTATTCTCCTGAAGATGTGCTATGTGGTTGTCAGCAATGAAACAAGACTTTTTTTTTTTGTAGAGATGAATGGACACTTGGACAGACATACATAAATACATTCAATGCCAGTTTTATTTTAAATGTTTACTTTTTATTGTACACGTTTTATAATGTTCATCACAATGCTATGAGAGTTACGTTGTTGTTGTTTTTGTGGGCATTTCCAGTATTTCTAATTTCAGGCTTGACTATAAAATGCAGCAGTACTAAAGTGAAAGAAAAGAAATGATAAAGAACATGATAAACTCAATGTGTAAGCATGCTTGACCTTCACTGTCAATTTTGCAGCTGAGCAGCTTGAACTGTTACACTGTGATACCAATGTCAAAACACAAGTGAAAGTATTTGTGCAATAATGTCATATGGTATATATCAGCATTCTTTCTCTATTACTATCATTTTTTATTTCTTAGGAAGAATGTAGCAAGTAATACTAACGCTGCATATTGTGCTAAAGTCTAAAGGCTGCTGTGTTGTAGCAATCATTTTCCTTTAAATAAACTAGTGTTGGTGGATCTTAGTTAACTTTACCCTTTGGAGTGAATGAAACTGAATAAATGAAAGTAATTTAAGATTTTGTTGTCTTTTATATTTTACCTTTCTTTATGTGTCATGTTACTAGGTAAGGGGTATGAAAACCTATTTAGAAATATTATTTGAAAATTATCTATCTATCTATATTTCTATCTATCAATCAGTTCTTTCTGGTTCTAGAATCTGATTGGCTGAAAGCCTTTTTCAGAAGTGCGATATTCTAGTGATAACAGAACATCTCGGTTACGTGCGTAACCCTCGTTCCCTGATGGAGGGAATGGAGACGTTATGTTGATGACGACATTAGGGGTCTTACTTGGGAGCCTGAATCCTCTCTGATTAAAAGAAAATGCCAATGAAATTTGGCTAGTGGATTTTGCATGCTGAGCCACTCCCCGTGCACACGGGTATAAATAGGCGACAGGCGCATCCACTCATCAGGTTTTATGCTGAGGAGCCGAGAACTTGTCCCTGGCAACCAGCGATGGTTCGAGGTTGTGGCATAGGGACATAACGTCTCCGTCCCCTCCATCAGGGAACGAGGGTTATGTACGTAACCGAGACATTCCCTATCTATCGGTCACTTCGAGTTATGTCGATGACGACATTAGAGGTCCATGGAAAGCGCCACAACCTGAACCTCGTCACAACCTTATGGCATTGCAAATGTTGACAAGCAGCCGCTCGTCAGACAAATGCTACGCAAAGGTCGTAACCTTTCCACTGCCCCAGCGCAAATTCGCTGACCTTGGTACCCGCAGGGACCAAAGGTGAGTATATTGCTGCTGGTGATAGCCAAGCTGCTGTTCCTTTCACCACAGAAATTTCTTAACAGAAGGGATTTCAACCTTCAATTAAAGATTGCTTCAAGTCTTTCCTATTTGTTGTTACAGCTTGGCAGTAACGATGGGAAGCGAGCCTTCCAGAGAAGGGTACTACGGAGGCCACATCCTACCCATAGGGAGGTATCATGTGGAGACACTAGCCGCTGTTCCTTTCACCACAGAAATGTCTTAACAGAAGGGATTCCGACCTTCAATGAAAGATTGCTTCAAATCTTTCCTATTTGTTGCTTGGCAGTAATGATGGGGAAGCGAGCCTTCCAGAGAAGGGTGCTACGGAGGCCACATCCTACCCGTAGGGAGGTAACATGTGGAGACACTGATATGGACTGACCCAGGCCTGGGGCAGTACTACATATGGAATGGGACTCGGAGGCAGGTCCTACCTGAGAGTAGGGATGGAACGACTGCCAGCAGAGCCTGACAGAATGGTCTGTCAAAGGGAAGACACGGGTTCACAGAGAGGGAAACCTTACCACAGAAGAATACAAATATGGGATCGCCCGAAGGGAATCAAGCCATATGGACATCTAGCCCAGTGCAGGGGCTGACCGGAGACCTGGACAAGCTAACACCAATACTGGGCCTGGTGTCAGACTGCTGGTTTACCGATAGGGAAACCTTACCGTGGAAGAATACACATATGGGATTGCAGGGAATCAAGCCATATGGACACCTAGCCCAGAACAGGGGCTGACCGGAGACCCGGGCAAGCTAACACCGATACTGGGCCTGGCGTCAGACTGCTCCGCCCAGTCTGACTGCCGGGGGTGCTGGAGGATACTCCACCAGGGTTCGCCATCCAGGGAACTGTACTGGAGGAGGAGGGAAGGGGGAATGG